TAGCCAGGATGGTCTCGATCTCCTGACCTCGTGATCCGCCCGTCTCGGCCTCCCAAAGTGCTGGGATTACAGGCTTGAGCCACCGCGCCCGGGCTGGCTGGAGATATTTTCAGGAACCACGTCATGGTGAAACCATATGCTAAACTAAGGCGTTTGGATTTGACACCTGGGCTATGCTTGATGTTCCTGGATTATGCTAAAGGCATAAAAATATTTTTGAATATATGAATTATTGACTTTGTTATAAAAGATCTGGAGAATCACTAAATCATTTTAAGAGGGCAGTTAACATGATCTGATTCATGTTTTAGAAAAATTACTCTAGCAACAGTAGGGGGATGGATTACATAGGGACCAGATTGAAAGTGGGAAACTTAGGGGTAGTTTTGCAGTAATAATCAAAGAATGAGAACGAAAACAAAGCTCAGAGTGTAAATGGTGAAGGGAAGATGAACTAAGTTATTAATGAAAAGGAATCTGTACAACAAATTGAGAATGGTGGATGAAATCTTGGATGACTCTAATGCCATCTACTCAATCACTTTTAGATCATAGTTTTCTAATAATAGCCAGAAAGAATTAACACAGATTCTCCAGCCATGTACGGTGGCTCACGCCTGTAATCCCAGCACTTTGGGAGGCCAAGGGAGGTATATTGCTTGAACCTAGGAATTTGAGACCAACCAGGGGAACATGGCAAAACCCCATCTCTACAAAAAGTACAAAAATTAACCAGGCATGGTGGCATGCACCTGTAGTCTCAGCTACTCGGGAGGCAGAGGTGGGAGGATCACCTGAGCCTGGGAGGTCGAGGCTGTGGTGAGCCATGATTGCATCACTGCACTCCAGCCTGCGGAATGGAGTGAGACCCTGTCTCAAACAACAGAACAAAACAAAACAGAACAAAACCAAAACAAACAAACAAAAAACCCCCCAGATACTCATTTTATGATAAAATATGGCCTGTAACATTTGTGTTACATTCCCAATTTGCTTAAAGCTAATATTTTGTTTTAACTAATGTTGTAAAGAGCCTGAGCATAAAATAATTAGCAGAGTCACTTTTTTTATGTGTAGAAACTGACAAAGTGATTCTAAAATTGATGTGGACATGCAAGGTCCTAAACTAGTCAAAAAACTGAAAAAGAACAAAGTTGGAGGACTAACACTTCCTGGTTTCGAGACTTAACCATAAAGCTGTAGCAATCAATAAAATATACTCCTGGGCTGGATGCAATGTTTCACACCTGTAATCCCAGCACTTTGGGAGGCCAAGGTGGGCAGATCAACGGAGGGCAGCAGTTCACGACCAGCCTAGCCAACCCCCTGTCTATACTAAAAAGACAAAAATTAGTCAGGCGTGGTTGTGAGTGCCTGTAATCCTAACTATTCAGGAGGCTGACGCAGGAGAATCGCTTGAACATGGGAGGTAGAGGTTGCAGTGAGCCGAGATTGTACCACTGCACTCCAGCCTGGGCTAAAGAGTGAGACTCCATCTCAGAAAAAGAAAATGCATTCTTGGCATTCAGATAGATCTATAGATCAATGGAACTCTCAATAGAGAGTTCAGAGATAAGCCCACAAGTACACCATCAACAGATTTTCAACAAAGGTGACAAGGTAATTCAATGAGAAAAGGATAACCTTTTCAACAAATGGAACAATTAGATACAGACATATGCTAAAAAAAAAAAACAAAAAAAAAAACAAAAAAAACGCCCCCCAAATCCTGATCGAAATTCTGTTTCCCATTGGTGAGGAATGCCTGCCCTCAATACCACGGGATAGCCAAATACATAACACCTGACACTAGACAGAGATGAGATTGATAACAGTTTATTAGTCACATATATTCACAGCCTATGGGAAGAGGATAGATATGCTACGCTATGCAGGGCCACAAGGGGTTACTCTGAGGAATAGAATGAACTCGTAGAGGGTATGGGAGGCAGGCTTTGTAGTGACAAGAAGATGAGGTGCCTCCTGGTTCCCCTGGGAATATGTGATTGGCTTGTCTGAAAAATTCCATGGGCTGGCAGGGAAGTGAAACCCATTAGTTTGAGGACTGGGTGGAGTACAGCTGCTCCGGCTGATAGAGGAACTGGTCAGATGGAGACTCTTTCTCTCTGGATGGGGGACATACTCTGGCCAAGAAACTGATGGCTAGGCTTTTTTGGGGCTTCTGTGAGGCTGAAAGATGTCAAGTCCATACATGAAATTTTAGACCTTGCAATAAATTTATCTCACGCCATATATAAACTCAAATTGTTTGCTAGATATCTGTGATTATGAAATATCTATTAATTTACTAATGTATATAGGTACATTTTTATAATTTTCCCCTCAAAGATCTTGCATATTTTTCTTAGATTTATTCCGAGGTACTTCATATTTTTAGATGCTATTAATAAATGCTATCTTTTTTTAAAAATTAATTTTCTACTTATTTGTCACTGGTATTTTAAATTATAATATTTTTATATATTGACCTTATATCTAGCAATCTTGCTAAAATTTATCATTCATTTTTATACTTTAGTTGAAGATTTAAACATTTTCTCTCTCTCTGTTTTTCTTGTCCAGGTTGGAGTGCCGGAGTGCAGTAGCACGAGCTCCTCTCACTGCAGCCTCAACCTCCTGGGCTCAAGTAATCCTCCTGTCTTGTCCTCCCAAAATGCTGGGATTACAGGTAAGCCACCACACCCAGCCAAAATGACATTTTTGTTCACAAAGACTGATTTATGTACATTTCATTTATATGTTGAATTTTGTTAAGAAGAAATTGGAACAAATCCACCAGCCTCTACAAAGAGAACATCAAGAACCTGTGTAACAGGCCGGGCGCGGTGGCTCAAGCCTATAATCCCAGCACTTTGGGAGGCCGAGGCGGGCAGATCACGAGGTCAGGAGATCAAGACCATCCTGGCTAACACAGTGAAACCTCGTCTCTACTA